AAGAAGCCTCTGTTCGATAAGGTGTCTAAGTCTATAACTATTTCTGGTAAATACTAGACCCGACCCGACATGGTCCATTTGGGTTGCATGGCACCATTCAATTGGATAAACTAAATGAGAGAAATAACACATATGGTTTATTTATATATTATAAGTTCTAATATATTAATAATAATATTTAATTAGTTTTGATCAAGAATTAATTTAGAATTAATTAAGTGATCAAAAGATAACTAATTAGATATATGGGTAGATTAAGTAAATCTTCCATATCTTATATAGTGGGCTAAAAAGCTCCATGGATTGTCAAGTTGGGTTCCACCCATAGAATGCTCCATGGATGCTCCATGGAGTTAACCCATGGATCAAGAAATGAAGAGTCATGGAACATTAGGGTTTACCTAATGTAACACACTATATAAGCAATGTAACTCTCCCCAAAATCGGCTACACTAAAAAACAAGAGGTCTTGGCCGATTTTGCATGTGTTAGAATATTCTCTCAAGTTTATTCTATGCATTTGGTGTTGTGTGAAGCATTTGATGCATCACACTTGAGGTTCTAGGCTCACAAGGTTTCAAGGAACACTATGAACAACAAGGTACGTAGTTCTATCTTTTATACAAAGAAAATTGTACCCCATGTATGCTAGATAGGTTCATAACCTTGGAAAATAACTTTGCATGATTATTAGACAAACATAGATCCAAGGTTATTTGGGTTGCATGTACACTTAGGAAGTGTTAGAATGCTCAAAACCCATCAGCCTCCTTGGGTGCATTCTTTTGGCAATCATGCTCCTACCTCATCATCTTTCAGTGCTTTTGGACCTTTGTATGTCCTAAATCTCTTGCCTTTATCACTTATTCATGCTAGAGATAAATTTTATCCCAAATAAGAGTGGGTAGCATGCATTGAATCCATTAAATTAGAAAATTTAAGGATCATTGAGACGTTTTATTTAGTGTAAGTTCCAGATATGAGGTTTAGTGTTGCTTTTAGACTCCAAGCATGAGTCTTTATCCCATTTCCTTCTTATTGACCTAGTTAGTGTCCAAGTCATGCATTGGACATACATGACTAAAAAGCCAAGATTTTTTATGCTCCTTAGGGGTTGGGAAATACCCTGTGAAAAGTATCAAAGAGTAGCTTAAGGGATTAAGAACTTGATGCTCAAAGTTGTCCATAACGGATCTCACGACGTGAGGGATAGCATGTGTCATTGTGAGATCTGGTGTTCACGACTATTTTTTCCTCTTCCATTCACAACATGACCTATGGGTGGTCCCTACATTAGTGATGGCTGAAGTTGACCAGGGTTGACCTTTAACCATGGTTGACTTTTGGGTCAAGTTAGGGTTTTAAGGATGTAGGTTGAAAGGGTATGTATTTACTGTTTTTAGTTTTCTTATTGGTCCTATCTACCATGTATGTGAGAGATATTGGAGTTCTAGCTATTATTCGCAAGGTGTGTCTTCTCATTATATTACCTATGTAGTAGAGTATGCATGTTGGCCAGTTGGGTATTACTTGTTGATGTGTTTTGTTGTAACTCCCGTAGATCTAGGCTAGTCAATTTATAGATAATGAGCATCAAAAATGAGTTTTTGATGGAAGACTATTTAGAAGGATTAATATTAACCACGTTTTAGTATATGTTACAAGGGTTTCGTAAATATAAAGAACGCCAAAATCCGAGTTGTAACGAAGAAGTTATGGCCCGTTGAAGTTTTACAGCAAAACCGACACGACACAACATGACATAAATGGTGAATTTACGATAGGGGACTTTTTAGCCCTAGCAATCTAAAAAAAAAGTCGTAGCATACGTTAAACCAAGAGCATGCTTAAAAAGAACACCCAATTCTGACTTCGTATTAGAAAGTTATGATTTTTCTAAGATTTGGCATAACAGTGCACAGCCTAAAATTTGAATTTTAGATCGATCGATTTTTGGCCAACGCAGCCTAAATGAGAATTGAAGATATCATTAATAATAGCGCAAAGGTAAAAATACAGACTAAAATCGATTCCGGATTAAGAAGTTATGAATTTTTAACGGACTTATCTTGCCCCGGCCTATTAAAAATATAACTTTAAAAATAATGTCAAAATTTGTCGACGGAGTCTAAATGAAAGTTGTAGAGTACGTCTCCACCTACGCATGGATATAAAGATTGTCAAAAATGGAGTTTGTAGGAATGAGTTACAAATTATAATAACATATTTATGTATTAAAATAAAGTATAAATCATATATACGTACACAGACAGACACACACACATACATATATATATATATATATATATATATATATATATATATATCATTAGAAAGGTATCGACGATGCGGTCATTATTGGACTAGTGTTGCGTACTTTCGACATTAGTTTAATACAAATATCATTAAGTGTATTTAAAATAGTATTATAAAGGGGTGTTTAGTTGTTTATATAACTATAAGGTCATTAAGTAACTTAGAGGGTAGTTTTTGAAAATTCAATTACTATAAATAAGAGCCTCTAGCTCTCATATTTCTTACACCATTCTCTTGATTCAAGAGTCTTTCTATTCTTATCCCTTGAGCATTTCGGTCCCTCGTGATTCGGCTTCTCTTTCTGTAGTTTTAGTTTAGTAAAGTGAGCGCTGAAGCACTACACAAATATTTCTTAGAAAGATTCAGTGATGAAGTCCTGCCACTGCAGAGCTCGTCTCTTTGCTAAAACCCCCTTATAAGTAAGTTATGCTTACCCTACTTTAAGTATATCTTATATTTAAAAAATAGTATTGTTATTATGAACTTATAATAAATATTTGGGCTATTATTATTACTTATATAAGTGCCATCATAATATATTTTTAACCACTCGCGATACGGGGAATCTGGTTTGAAGAGCCACTTGGGTTGTTGGATTTCAAAAGTGTTATATGCCAAAATGGTCCAACCCTCCAGTATTTCATGTTTGGACCCTGTATGTACATAGTGGGTGAAAAGTATTGTTTAAATGCTTATATAATAATAATAATAATAATAATAATAATAATAATAATAATAATAATAATAATAATAATAATAATAATAATAATAATAATAATAATAAGAAGAAGAAGAAGAAGAAGAAGAAGAAGAAGAAGAAGAAGAAGACTAATAATTAGTCGCGGTAAATATTAGACTAAAATCTAGTGGTAATAATACTAGGTTTCGTCGAAGAAAATTATTTTTAAGAAGCAAACCGCTGTCTGAGTTCGGAATCACCACCTTAACAAGTAAGTTCATAGTCCCTTTCATGAACATGATTTTAATACAAGTATTGATTGATGTATTAAATATATGTTTATGTGAAGATTATTTGATGTTGCCTGAAATATGTGTTAAAGAACATACATGATTATATATGATGATTTAGGATCAAGAGTAATCCTAAATTAATTATGATCAACATTGGGTAGTATCCTCTTACGAGTACGAGTGAGTTATACTCAGAGAATAGAACTTTAATATATCGCATTGATCCGGGAGCATGGATTAGACGTAGGCATTATCCCTAGTCCGAGAGTATGGATTGGACATAGTCAAATGTCATTAATCCAGGAGTATGGACTAAGACATAGTCGGTCGTCCTTAGTCCGGAAGTATGGATAGGACATACTTATTCGTCACTAATCTGGGGGTATGGATTTAAACATAGACACTTGTCCCTAATCTGAGAGTATGGAATGAGCCCAATTATTGATCCAAGAACACGGATTAGATCCGAGAGTAAGAGGTAAAATCTGAGGTCCGAGAGTATGGATAGTCTCGTTGTGAGGATTAACAGGGTGGGGTAGGATTTGAATATATATATATATATATATATATATATATATATATATATATATATATATATATATATATATATACATATATAATTGTATATTCTGTGAGTTGTAAATTAGATATATGATAAAACATTGTGGGATTGAAATTCCTATGTCTTCACTAGGTTTCTCACCCTGGCCCACTCAAGCTTATTTGTATCACAGGTGTCGATATGAAGTTACATTACAGTGGAGATTAAGGAGATATAAATCAGTAGTGATAATGAATGTAAGTTATGTTTATGATTATGTTTCTGTATTGACGGTGACTTCCCAAGTGTTTTGAAAATAATAAAATACATTTCTTTAGAAATGCTTTGATAATACATTTATCATGTTTTTATGGGAACAAATTCCGCAACACTTATCTTAAAAATGTTACTCTGACATTTAAACAAAGCATAAGCAAAAATCAGTCTTTTCTGGCCGTGAAAATGGGGATGACACATGTGTGTATCTGTTTGCTGATATCTCTTGGACAACAGTGAGTCCACGGGACTCCTGATAGCCTCTAGGGTTGTTAATAACCCATGAAATATGAAATTAATCCACAAGGTTGCTAATAACCCTAAACTGTTTACTTTCTGAGTTGTATGTAATATTTTTGGAACTCAATCGACTTCGTGCTTACAATTGTGGATTAAGTATGTTTCAGGTACATCCAATGATCACAGGTAAGCGAAGGCTTGACTGTTCACTTCGACTTGTAGATTTTATGATTTTTCCGTATTTTGATACTCTGATTTAGGATGAATATATTTTATTCACCTGGGATTTTTACGACATCATTTTTATAATATTGATGTTTTCCTTTATTAAAACTGAAAAATTTTGTGCTAAAAATCAGTATGTTACATTACCAACATTGACTATAAAAAAACTCAAGCATCTTTTGACAATGACGCCATTCTATGCTCATCCAAATGTCGGCGAGAATATGCTCAGGAAACTCCTTAGGAACAACTGTAAAACTATTCAGAAGACAAACAACTTCTTGATCATGGGGTGAAATTTAGGGGTGATATTAGAAGTTGGATCGGTACGAAAGTAAGTACCACCAACGCGAGGGTCGTTCACCCAGAACTAATGATTTTGCCAGTTCTTCGGACTACTCTTCCCTTCAAGAATAAGCAAATGGGCGTTCTATCGAGCATAAAAAGTAAACTTATCCTCAATAGTAGAAAACCAGAAAAAGAAAATCTTGAACACCCAAATGCGGGGAAGGAAACTATGGGATCGGAATAACATCTGAAAATCCATAACCTTATTGATTGTTTCGAGAGTGAGTTCGTATATGTTGACGCCATTGTTATGCAGCACCTAGTCCATAAATTCAGTCATCATAAGTCAATAGCCAGCATCGAAAGTTTTGAGAAATATACCTACCTTCCTATGGGGAGGCTCTAGAAATGAAGCTACATCCAAAGAAATTAGCACTACATCATCTAGTTGGAAACCATATTTCTCATGAAGAGCATCAGCATATTCCAGTGTGGGGGTCACACCGAAAGTAAAAACTATGGTACCAGGGAAATCCATTTCTCAAGAGGTTGAAGAACAAAGAAGAAGAAGGAATAGCGAGAGCACATAAAAGAGTGAAATATATTAAGAAACCATGTATTTATGGAGACAATCATAAGGCAATCAAACGTCCAGGAAAAAATGAACATGTTCGAAGAAATCATAATTGCTCGACGGACAGTAAGAAGACATGTGTATCCTAAAGTCTAGAACATAATGACTAATTACGCTATGTCATCATTACTAGACTATGGGGCCTAATGATATAGCATATAACGGTCATGATAGGTTTTATAGGTTATAAATCAAAGCATAATGCGAACTAACTTAACCCTTCAGTTCACATGCAACCTATTTGAATCTAAGTTTTCTCTATTAATAGCTATAATCTGATGAAGATCAAGAAACCTAATGAGGCCATACTATAATCAAAATTAACAAGGGATTAGGGTTTACAAACCTTTTGATTATTATATAAAATAATCAAACTAATTCCTTTCTTCAAATGTCTTGGAAAGCAAGCACTAGAAATCTAATGTCTCTAATGGTTTGTACCCAAACCCTACTAAATAAGAAGACTTAAGGAGAGAATGAGAGGGAGTAGGATTTTCGGCTATCGCTTTGGTACATGTGGTGGACAAAAATGAGGAGCCAAGGGGTTTCGTTTATAACTGATACAAGGAGCTTTGGAAACCTTAATTTGAATATAATACTATTATTTCAAATTTGGTAATTATCAAACTCCTTAATTATCTTTATGGAGTAATTAAAAACCCTTAAAAGACTCCTAAAAACCATCCATTACCCATGGAAGGTTCTAGAATCTCTCTTGTTCAACTCTTGAACAATTACAGCTTAAGTCCTTGCACTTTTAATTAATTTAATTAATCCCAAAATTATTCCAATTAATTTCTAATTAATTATTTGTTAAATAATACTATTTCTACTTAATATATTAATCTCATAGTATACTATAAATCTATTTATTGTGATTTATTAATCCTATAATAAATCAATAAATCGGTTTCTCTCTCTCTCTCTCTATCTCTCTCTCTCTCTCTCTATATATATATATACACACACACACACATACACACACACACATATATATATATATATATATATAAGTCATTCTAGTCAATTACTAGTTTTGAGGAAAACCCAAAAGGCCTTTGATTTTAATTCATGTATATACCAATTTAGTTATTGTCTTAGACACCATAATCCAACAGTCTCCCACATGGATAATTCTGTAACTACAATTGCAAGTATAACTTCTAAATTAAAGAACGAAGTTTTCTTTCCGAAGCAACTACCAAACTTTAATCCAGTCAGACATTGGCCCTAAGATAAGCGATCAAGTATTCATTCATTCTTCAAGATATCGTATGGACATGACTCATGGATTACAATCATTCTCATTTTCCAAAATTCTATTTCCTAATTTCCTTATTTATGATGACATCGTTAGACTACTAATTGAACAAATTAATTCAGTCATGGCTACACCCAGCACTATAATGTCAACACCAAATCATAGAGGGGTCCAAAGATATTGCTTTTCCTAGTAGGGAAAAAGGAACGAATAAACTTTTGCATATATACGTGTATCTTTTACTCACTAAGTCATACATGACATTACATTTTATAACATCATGTTACTGATGTGTTTTTGTAATACTAATGTACAGCTGACTTGTAAATTACAACTTATATATATTTGTTTGAAGCATAAAAGATATTATCATCTTAGAATTACTTGTGCTATAATCCATGAAGTAATTCTCTTAGTGTAGGTTTATCCAATACTCAAAATCTCCATTTTTCTAAGTGCTCATGAATATTGTAGCAACCCATTGCAATGTCTAATCCCCATCAACAATCTACAATCTATTCGTGACAGTCTTAATTCACAACTTACTTCGAATAGTCAAATCATTCAGGAAGTAAAACATGCAAAGTGAAACACAAGAATAAATAATTGAAAAAGGCAGTACAATACTCATAAATAATTCTCTAATATTTTATCACGAAAAGAAATTACATTTATTTTGTTACAAAGTTTCAAAATTTTCAACTAACTACTAAAACTAACGTCTTCTCTTAAACCAATGCATCTATCATGTTGGTTGTGTATAACCCTATTCAGAACCTTCGTGAAAGGATCTGCATGATTGCCTTCTGATAACACCCGCTTCACCAGGAGTTAACGTTTTTTAACCCTATGTCTAATATAATGGTATTTTATGTCGATATACTTGGATCTACCATGATCCTTTGGTTATTTTGTCAAAGCAACTTCCCTTTCATTATCGGAAAAAATTTCCAATGGCTCTTGAATGGTTGGGACTAATCTAAGATCTCTATTGAAATTCTTCAAACAAGTCACCTCCTTTGATGCCTAACTTTTTGCGATGTACTCGGATTCACAAGTAAAATCAACCATCGTATCCTACTTGGAACTTTTCCAAGTCACCGCTCCACCATTTTACACAAACACCCAGCATGATTGAGAACCGAAGTTGTCTTGATCTATCTAAAAATTAGCATCACTATATCCACTTACACTTAACATACTACTGCCATTATCGAATATAATCATGTCCTTCGTCCTTCGTAGATACTTAATAATATTCTTAACTGCAGTCCAATGAGCTCTGCCAAGATTGGCCTAAAATCGAATAACCATGCTCAAAGCATAAGACACACCATGGCGAATACATGATATAACATACATGACCGAACCCACAGTTGAAGCATATGGGTAAATCCTCTTTTTTGGAATTTACCATACTAAAACATTTTAGGATTTTATCCAAGTATATACTCAAACTAAGGCAAATAAGTTGTTTCTGTCTATCCATCAAAATCCTTATTCCGAGAATATAGGTTGCTTACCCTAGGTCCCTCGTAGTGAAACACTTGGCAATCCAAGATTTCACATCTTTCAAGGTCAGAATGTCATTTCCCATAAGGAGTATGTAATCAACATACAATACTAGGAAAGTTACTATACTCATATAGCCTTCACATACACACAAACTCTTTGAATTTCTCATGTAAGGAAAAATTACGGGTAGGATATGCATGTTTCAATCTATAAGCTGATTTCTAAAGCTTACACACTCTATTAGGAAACTTGGCATGTATAAAATCCTCTGGCTGAATCCTGTAAACATCCTCAGTCGACATCCCATTTAGGTAAGCAGTTTTAACATCTATTTTTCATATTTCATAATCATGAAATGTTGTTACTAATTTCATAAACCTAATAGAATTTATCTTAGCCACAGGTGAGAAGGTATCATCATATTCAATCGCTTGGGTTTGAGTAAAAAACTTCACAACTAGTCACGCCTTGAATGTGTGCACCTTTCCATCCATGTCGATCTTCTTCTTAAAGATCCATTTACACCTAACTGTCTTTCGAATTGGTACATGATCAACCAATTTTCAAACTTGGTTATCATAAATAAACTGGATTTCATTATCGATTGCCTCTTTCGACTTAGTAGCATCAGGGCTCGCCATCGCTTCCTTGTACTCAGCTGGGTCATCTATATTTACTAGTGTACCATCACTGATAAACGTGTCACCTATTGGATTAATGTCTAAGTCCATAACTATGATTGATAAGACTTGACCCGACCCGGCATGGTCCATTTGGGTTGCATGGCATAATGCATTTGGATAGACTAGAATGAGAGAAATAACACTTAAGGTTTGTTAATATATTATAAGTTCTAATACATAAATAAGATTATTTAATTAGTATTGATCAAGAATTAATCTAGGATTAAATAAGTGATCAAAAGAAGACTAATTAAATATGTGGGTTGATTGTGTAAATCATCCATACTTGTATAGTGGGCTAATGCTTCATGGATTATCAAGTTGGGCTAAAACCCATAAGATGCTCCATGGATGCTCCATGGTGTATTTGAACCTATGGATCCAAGGAACTAGAAAGCCATGACAATTAGGGTTTACTTTAATTGTGACACTATATAAAGATCATATTCTAGGGAAAGATCAAACACTATGAGTGATAGGAAGGGCTAGCCGATTTTCTTCAAGTGTGAATTTCTCTCAAGTCATTCCATGTGTATTTGGTGTTGTGTGAACCATTTTAGGTGTCACACTTGGGGCATTAGGCACTTAAACTTCATGAAGACATTCTACATCAAAGAGGTATGTAATTATAACTTGATATATTCATATGAGTCAATGTTATTATGTTAGTTAGGATGAATACCTTGGAAAGTTCATATTTGCATGTATAATAGAGAAAACATAGATCCAAGGTATTTAGGGTTGCATGTACACTTAGGAGTGTTAGAATGCTCAAAACCCAACAGTGGTATCAAAGCCAAGGCTTTCTTTCTCTTATGCTTGATGCAAATGTGTTTTTTCAAAGTTGAATCTGTCCATACCATAAACCTCGACGAGTTGATGCAAAAAAGTCGACGAGTTCATTATATTGGGCATGAACTCGACGAGTTTCTCAAGGAACTTGACGAGTTTTGGGTTCTGACAGCTTGCTATTTGCTGTTTTGGCTGGAATTGGACTAGGAACATTACCGTAAGCTGTTTTTGAACTTATAAGCTTGTTTTTGATGTGGTAATGTTCATGCTAATCCAATTTCAAAGATAATTATCAATAGATTCATGTTTTGTATTATTTTAAGAGTTATTCTAATTACATGAAATTGTTTGATGTGAATTACCTTTGATCATATGAGATGCTTAGATTAATGATAAGTTGATTGATTATGTGTTTTTCAATCCATTTTAATCTAAGAGATTATTCTAAAATGTGTTTGTGTAACTTATCCTCAAGTTACATGAAAGGTCACATTCAAGTCTCATAAAACTCATAAAAGTTGGCAATGGTTACAAAAATGAAGAGTCTTGTCCTCAAGTTATGGAGGTTCAAGAGTCACTTCATTAAGTAACAAAATGTGTAACCTTAATTAATTCCATAAGTTCCAAAATAAAGTAAAGTTCATTCTTTTATT